CTGTGAACTCATAAAGTTGGTTTGCAACAGCAAAACGGAGGAAATGCCTGTAAGTTGGATGAATTGAAATATGAAAGTAGGCGTCCTTCAGGTCCAGTGAGGCGAACCAATCCCCTCTCCTTAACAACGGCAAAATGTTTTGAAGGGTGGTCATGCGAAACTTTCTCGGTATAATAAACTTATTCAAGTCCCGTAAATCCAAAATCGGACGTAGACCACCATCCCGCTTGGGGACCGTAAAGTATCTGGAATAGAATCCGTGAAGTCCGTCAGATGGAAATACTTGACGAATCGCTCCTTTAAGGAGAAGTTGATGTATTTCGTCGAGAAGTACCGGCGAACATGAAGTAGACCGGATCAGACTCGATGGAGGAACGATGTCGAATTCTATTCGATAGCCGTGTTGAACAATGGATAATACCCACTGGTCAGATGTGATGGACTCCCAAATGGGGAGTCGGCTTCGGAGCCGATCCCCAGATGAGAGGGGGGTGGGTATTAGAGGAGCATGAGGAGTGGTTCGCCAGTCCCGTCAGCGCTGCCTCCGATCGACGAAATGACGGCGGCCCTGTTGGAAGCGCTGTTGGGGCTGAGGGCGGCGGTGCTGTTGATGCTGTTGTTGCTGGCAGTGTTGCGGCAGCTGTCTCTGCTGGTATGACTGCCTGTAGGATGGCCGATTCCAGGACCACTTACATCTGTTGTGTGACTGGATCTCCATCCTGCGCGCTGTCATTCTTGACTCATGCAGTTTCTTGAGTTTGTGGTTGGTACGTGAATGGAAGAGCCCGGAACCATCAAAAGGCATCTCTTCTATTCGCCACTTGGTCTTCTCCGGGAAATTACAATTCCGAAGCCATGCGTGTCTCCGGAGGGAAACGGCACCGACCAAGGCCCGGGGGTCAGTGTCCACGTGGTGCCGTGCCGTGGACAACTGCTGCACCGCGACCTGCAAGGCTTCTTTGATTAGGACCTTCGCAAGGTCACCCTGGTGGTCTGGGAGGGTGGAGGCGACATTGTGGAGGCGCTGCATAATAAAATACTGATATCGCGCCAACGTCGCCTCGTAGTTGGAAATGCAAAGTCCTAAGCCCGAGGCAGCATAGACTCGCCTGGCCAGGGAATCTATTTTCCGGCCCTCCTTATCCCTTGGCGCCGTATGTCCTCTTGCCTCTCTGCCTTGCGAGGATTCAACGACCGCCGAATTTGGTTTCGGGTGCTTTAGCAGGAAGGGGATGTCTTCTTCCCAGACCCTGTACATAGACTCATATCTCCTGGACGTCGGCTGAGGATGTGAAGATAGGTCCCAGGGCTGCGTCATCGCCTGCCGCAGGGTAGTTATAAGCGGCAGAACGATGGAGGTCGATTGCTCCCCGCAGACGACATCGTAAAACTTGTCAGTCGACGGTCCCGGGCGCTGGGCAGCGTCGACGTCCAGGGACTGGACAAGCCTCGACATCAGCTCTGCGAAGGAGATGTGTGACTCATCGGGTGACGCAGGATCCTGGGATGTCACCACGATGTCCGGGGAGGTTGAGTCTACTTCAGAGTCATCCGAATCAGCACCGTAGTATGGGGGGGCAGAAGATGATGACTCCGCCGGCAAGAAGGAGCGCTGCTTCCTTTTTGCGGGGATCGAGGTGGCACCCTCCTCGAATCCACTGACCGCGGTTTGTCGCGGGGTGGAGGTGAGGATCGCGCCCTGGGAGCAGGGTAGTACCCCACAGAGAGTGGGTCTCCCCAAGGTTGGTAGTAGGGATGACAACTCTCCGGGCGTTGCTCTACCGAGTGGCTCCTCCGATTCCCTGGTGGGGACAGGCCAGCTTCTGTCTCCAATGCCACCGCGGGCATCGGTGTCAGTGACCTCGCTCTAGGAGGGGAGTCCTGGATTTCCCCATCCGAAATAGACCCCCATAGAGTTGGAAGGGGTGCAGGCAGGAGGTTGACCGCACGTCGGGGAGACCCTTGAGGGGTAACCCGCATGGCCTCCTGAAGGATCGGTTTGGGCGGGGTTGGTATCGTAACCGCCACCAGTACCGAGGGTCCCGTTGGCTCTGAGTACCGATGTCGGGAACGGTCCATGGACTTAGCCTTCTTTGGAGGCTTAGAGGCCTTCTCCTTTCTGGCCTTCTTATGGCCTGCCGGCTTCTCTTCGGCATGCTTCCGCTTCTCATGCCTCTTTTTTGGTGAAGCAGAGGGGGCCACCAAAGCGGACGCACCTTCATCCGAAGGGCGTGAGGGTGGAGCCACAGAAGTGGAACCAGGTTTTGGGATAGAGACGAGTGGGTCTGATTGCATCAGAGCCCTATCCCAAAGGAGCCTCCGAAGCCGGTTCTCGCGGTTCTTCCTAGCCTGCTTTGAGAAGGCTAGGCAATGAACGCACTTATCCGTCCTATGCCCCTCTCTGAGGCAGAGGAGGCATAGGTCGTGCGGGTCAGTAGGTGCCATTTTTGACCCGAAGTCCGCACATTTGCGGAAAACCACTTGCTGCGCCATCGCAGAAGAAGAGAAGAAAAAGAAGAGCGATAGTGCAGAGGGTAAGTATATATTTTTGGTTTGTTTGTTTTGATAGATCGAAGAAGAAATAACAAGAGAAAAACTACACAGAAGCGGGAAACGAAGAAAGGGGAAAGTAGTGTAAGGGCAATATATAAGGAGAGAACCAAGAATAGCCAAAGCGAAAGTCGAAAGCGGCACGAGGCACAGCGAACCCCAGTCGCAAAGACTGAACAAAATGGTGGACGCTCCGCTCTTTATAGGCCACAAGGGGGAGGGGGAGCGGAGCTTCCCGCCAAAAACCGTTAGCTATCAATCTTCCGGCCAAAGGCACTGCGCAGGCGCAGTACCCAAATGTGTGATGCACAGAGGCCATGACAAAGAACAGGACAGAATATTAATCTTGGAGGATAATATTCTTATATTTTTATTAATTTATATTTTAAATTAAGATGTTACTTTAGTCACCATGAGCACTATTTTTGGTGGAATGGTGGTACAGTGGTACCTCGGCTCATGAACGCCTCAGTTCATGACCAAATTGGGTTGCGAACAGAAATTTCATTAAAAAATTGCCGCAGGTCAGAAATTCTGCATTGGGTGATGATTGCGAGCGTATCCGCCTTCCCTGCACGGGTGCGATCACGTTCATGCTGGGCGGTGGGGGAGTTGGCTGTGATTGCGCTTGTGTTCCCTGCCCAAGCATACCCACGCCCGCCTCCCCCCGCATGCCCACCTCCCTCCACCCCCCTGCACAATCGCTTGGCTGGGGGGGGGATGACCACGATCTTTGTTGTTCTTTGTCACTTTGCTTCACATTTTTGCAGAATGGATTAAACTTATTTACATTGACCCTTATGGGGAAATTTGACTTGGTTCACGACCAATTTGGGTCACGACCAGAGTCCTGGAACAGATTAAGTTCATGAGCCAAGGTACCACTGTATATACATTTAATAAAGAAAAAAAATGGCATACTTAAAAAAAAACACAGAAGGGACTGAAAAGCTATTTGATTTTGTCCATCCAGCAGGGTTATTCAAGTTCTGCATAAAATTGAGAAGTGTGGCTAACACCACCAAAGATCTCAAAGTTGAATCTGAGGAGAACTTAGGTTTCCGTCAGGTATTTTGTAGTAAGTTGCTTCCTTCTGAGAAGGCAGATGACAGACCATACTTTAGAGACGAGACCATTAAGTAGATCCCACTTCAAGGTTCCACAAATCTATTGAAAACCACCTATGATAAAACTTACGGCACTTAGCCTATACTTAACTATACCGTACCTGTACTTTTTATTTAGGAACACATGTTATATTTCGTATAGATTTAGATTCTAACATGATTTGAAAGGATGAAGGAAAATAAGCTACCTTATGAATCTCCCACCATTTTCCATGCTGGTTACAGTCTCTTAAAATTAGCAATGTATTAGGAATCCAGTTGCTTCAGCGAAGTTCCAGGGAATCTGGCCTGCTTTCTCTCTATCCTAAGTCCACCTCATGCAGAGTGTTCACATGGGCTTCTGGCAGGCTGGCAGTGAGTTCAGGTGAGGCTGGCTTGTACACACCGCCCGCATGTCCACTGTGCAAGTGGAGTCCTGCTTCTGCGCATGTGACTCGCAGGCTTTCTGTACTTTGTACAAAGTATTATGTACCTTGTGTATTTCTGCAAAGGAATGGCTAGCATTCTTGCATGTTCACGGATCTGTTCTTTGCTTGGCTCACTTGCAGGCCGTGGACAAGCACAGGAAAAACGACAGGCGAGTGCAAGAGTCAGATTCTGGCCTGATCTTCACATCCCTACTTGAAACATACCATAGGTTTGCAGGTAACCTTCCCAGGCTATGCACTCTATGTGCTTTCCGGTAGCTTTCTTCCATCATTCCCATCACTAGATTTCATTTCTTTCATACTGGACTCTCTCACAAGGGACCGTGAGGAGGAAAACATTTTAACGTCTTTTTTTCCTACATCCTGCACAGAGCTCTAAATCAATGAACATTTAAAGGGAACCTCAGGGTAGCCAACTATTTCAGTAGACTTTCCTTTCAAAGGGATTTGTAATGCTTTTGCTGTAGAGATGAAGGTTTTTATGGAAGGTGGGTTCATTCTCCCAGCATCCAGCAAAGAGAAACAAATGCCAGTCTAGCTTCAAGAGAAAAAGAGCAGTTGAGATAACATTCCAGCACACAGATAAAATCTCCATGCTAGACTGTGATTAGTGCGGCTAACTGCCCCTCACTACACATGCAAGACATGGGAATTATCCCAAAGCTCCCCTTCTCCTTTTTCATGGTACTGCAGGGTCTGTGATTTGCTGACCACATGCCATGCAGAGTGAGGCGCACTTACAGAGAGAGGTAGTGACAACAGCAAGGCAGGGAGGTGAATGTGGGTTCCGCTTATACCTGAGAGAAGCAAAGAGGAGAGTTGAGCGCAAGCTGTGCAGAAGGGGGAATGTTTGTGAAACACAGGTACCCACCCCCGCCCTCCCTGCAACACTTACCTCCCCGGCATGCTTGAACGAAGAACATTTTGGGCTTATTCTGAAGATTAGGGCAGTTTGCATTATCAAAGAGTCTGAAAATCTCCTGCAGCTGTGAAAGAATGAGGAAGCAAGGAATAAAAATTTCTTAAACTGTTAGATCATTTCCCCCACCATTTAAAACTTTTTCATTCAGGTATATTAATATATTTTATTTCTTACTGTGTAAGTCACCCTGCAAACATTTATATTGAGGAGTGGCACAAAATTTTTTTTAGAACAGATGACCAAGAACAACGTTTGCATCATCACACCAAGATCACATTCCACCCTACTCTTTCTATAGTTATTCTGCCAGTTAATTCCCAGTTCCCCCAAATAACCACAGATGTACTTCAGGCAGAGGTTGGTTGTCACCTTCAACATTTCTATATACAATCCGACCCAAGAGAGAATTCACATATGGTAAGTTACCTGAACGAGCCTGCCATCAACTCCATAGACTCCACCCTCTATGCCATGTGAGAGAAGGGACACTATGCAGGAATCTACATCTCTGTGAGCTGGAAGCTTTGAAAATTTTTCCAATTCTTCCTGTATTTCCTGAGAAAGAAAGATAACCAAGATCAGCAGTCCCTGCAACTGCACATACCAATGAACTAGAATATGCACAATTACTAGAGTAAACCCAGGTAGGTACGTATGTATGTATGTATGTATAAATAAATAAATGACAGCCCACACTCAAAGGATCATTACGGGTTAAGTTATGTTGTTCTTGCTGAACAATGGGTTCTTGCTGAAATGTGGGTTATCATGTTGTCTGAACCCAACCAAGCTAACAAACCATGTTACCCACAAACAACCCACGCAGAGAATCCATGTTGTGTTGAGTTGTGAATTGTTCTTGGGTTGTTCTTGTTCAAACTATGGTTAGTATGAGTTCAGAAAATACAGTAATTCCCAGTTAACAACCCACAGTGCAATAAACGAGTGTTATGTTGCCCAAACTCAGTCTACAGCCACACTTGTTTACAGCTTTTCGTGTCACACAACCCTGGCTAAACAGGCTTGTTGCCTGTAGGCTCGTTGCTACCAAGAAACTGTAGCATGCTGATAATTAGGCTAAACTCCTGGCACATGACCAGCATGCACAAGCATGGAAAATAAGCCACCACAGTTTCTTTCCCCTCCGTAGTTGTACAAACTAGGCCTATGACTGCTCTTCCTTCTCAGCGTTTAAAGCAGATAATTAAGACTATCTTTTAAGCAAGCTTGTTATGGTTATTTGTATTTTTACTGCCAACACTTGGGTTTTAATTTGTTCCTTTCTCTGTTGTATTTTGTCATTTTTATTATCCTGTTTTTGTTTATATGTATACTAGCATGCTATGAAGATTAAAAACCAGTTTATGCTATCAGGTTTACAATCCAATAAGCAATTAAAAAAAGGAATTGAAGGGAACAGAAACATAAGTAAATTCAGACACTAAATCTTCATAATGTTACATAAATATTTAATGATTGAGCAGAGACAATTCTGGGAGTGAAGAAGCCCAAAGTCCCTGCAGAGCTGATGAAAGGCCATATTATCTCATTTCTCCTATTGCTGTAACCTGGAAGAGATTTTTAAAGTTTCACACCTTTTCCTACCATCTTCTAAAATGGTCTTATTGATATTGAACTTTCAGAAATCTTGACCAAAAAGTGGGTCATCGATTGTTTACCTGAAATTAAATTACCCTCTGCATCACTGCTGAGAGCTTTACAACACCACATTCTTCGTGTGCACCATACTAATAGGATGTCAGAAACCAATGTGTGTCTTTTAAAAACAAGTAGCATGTGCTGCCAAAAATCTTTATGTTGCTATAAAAAAGCAGTAAGGCAAGTTAGTTGAGCTGTGCTATTGGAAAAGGATCTTACATTACAGCAGATTTCAGATACAAGCTGGAAATGAAGCAGGCTAAAATGAAACTTCACAAGTTATCAGAAGCACTGAAGAAAAAAAAATCAAACAAAAACTTTTTAAAGTTGAAGGCACTGTAGATACAATCGTGGACAGACCTTCTTGTTCTTTACATACTTGGGTCTTGCCCATATATTGAAAGATTTTGAAAATAAATGATTTTGCTTATCAAAAAACATCTGATGATATAGCTCTATATTAATTAATTACACGCATACTAAGCTATTTTTAAGTTGGTACAAAATTACAGAAAAAAACACACTTTTCTTAATTTTTACAGCTAAAATCCTTACTTTAAAGCACTGGGAACAATATATCCTAAGGACAGGGTAAAAGATTAAAATAATAGAGATCTCGGAGAGATCCATTCAGAGTTCAGAAACTCTAGAGTCAAGGTAAACAATGCCATTATGGCCCCTTTTTGTTAACATTTATTTTTTACCCAGGAAAATCAGATCACTGTAGCCACTATGGAGTGCTAAACTGAAATTTGGCCTAAAAGTGGCTTTTTTTGTTTTTGCCTTTTTCTTCTTCCTCCCATTTTAAGAAGATACTTCACAGGAGTCCCTGCGTCAAACACATTCCCTGCACCTCCCAAAGTTGCTTATCCCTGTGCTAGAATATGTATCGGCTTCTATTTGAAATCAGTAGACTGCTATTAGTGATGCACGTATGAAGAATTTTAATGACATTTCAATGAAAAATTGAGTGGACAATGTTTATTAGCCATTGTATGGAAGAAAGATTGGTATTATGTTCTGTAGATTTGTATTACCATTTGTTAAAAAGCTTTAACAGGTTGAAATCTATTTATTAGATTTTTAACCAACTCCATTAGCAACATTACCTAAATATAGCCTTTGCTAATAAAATAGTAATGATAAAGAAATTAAAGATAAAATACTTCATAAAAATAAATGAAATTGTGATAGCTAGGTAATAATGGTAACAATTCCACAGGGCAATACAATCTGTAGTAAATATAAAATATTTGCTCCCTCAGAACCTTTTCCATGTTGATAATTGCACCAATTAGTGAATTCACTGCATGTAAACAATTCGAGAAAGTTTTTATGTTTGCTTAATTCTCCAGGCTCACCTCTGCAGTCTGGTCATGTCGTACAACCACCTGGTACCCAAGGTGTTTGAAGAGCATATCTAGGGCAGCGTAATCTACATTTCCACCAGAACGGAACTCCAGATCTGTCTCATTGCTGAACCTCACATTACTAAGTATAAAAGCGAGCCCTCGTGGGCGTGATTTCAACTTGTATGCCTGTGAAACAGAGGTAATATGATGGGTCCTGTTTCCAGGTACAGATGTTAAACAGTAAAATCACAATATAATTAAAATGAATCATAACCCAAATGCTGATGCACCTAGGCAACTCTACTCAAATAAATGCAGAGATCAGGAAGAAAAGTATATGTATACTGTATGTTGGTTGAATTCTTTCAGAATCCACCCTTCTAGCATCTGAGGACTTCCTCTCATACTTGGGCCAGTTCTGTAAAGTGACCCAAGCCAAGTGGAAGTCTGTGAATGTTCATGGACCTGCATTTGCCCTGCCAGCAACCTTCCCAAATAGGTGTAGCTGCCCCAAGTGTGGCTGCAGGATGCAGAAGAGGGCTGCTGTGAGCAAGTGGACTAGGTATCATTCCCAGTGACCAACCTTCTTCCCATCTTGGACAGTTAACAGCAGCAGCATGGGGCATGGAAGAAGGGCACTGCTTCACAGCACGCGGGACTCAAAAATCCGTAATTTATGTTATTTTAACAACCTGGTGAAAGAAGACATGAAGCTTTGGGAGGGAATTAAGTTATCTAAGAGGAGAAATGACTGATTAAACAGATGCATTAAACCACCTGCTTCTATTGTTTAGTCCATGTTTTGAGAGTTATATGGCTGCTCATGCTTCTACAATTCATTGTGAAAGATAACATGTTTTCTCCTGAATGAAGCCCGTGTATGAAATTCTTTAGGAGACGCTCGTCTAGGAGAAAGAGAAATGTAGCTCCCAACCCTCAGATTACTTACCAAGTGCTCATGAGCATGATAGAATTCTGGGGTGCATGGCTTCACCTGAGGATAGTGGGGGCCGTCTCCATTATCCAAGGAATGCTCCATTAGCTCTGCAAAGACACATGCATGCAAACAGCTTAGCAACAAAACAAATTGCTTCTGTCAAGTCATATAACTTGGAGATACTTGGAAAATTAGCATTGTGAACTTCTTACTCAAAACTATCTATCTCTACTGAGGTACAAGGCTGGGGTCATGTTTTACTTGTGTTTACCTCACTGAAAACTCATTTTAGCAAAGTTACATGTGCTAGCATTTTTACTGAAGGAACAGAGGAGCTAGTCCAGAGTTTACTTCTAATAGAAACAGTTGAGAAACACAAATATTTTTTAGTAGAGCTGGAAAATTTTGGGTGGGAGGCCAGATAACTACTCACCCACCTAGCACCCTCCATGGACAGAGTGACATCAATGGGCAGGACCATGTCCCTTGTCATTATTTTTTTCTTTCACCTGATATACAGGAACCTGACTTTGTGGTGTACAGGCATTCCCTGGCCAAGGAAGATGAGAAGGATAGAGGAATCCTAACCAAAATCTCCAACTGCTGAGCTAATAGGAAGATTCCCTCTCTGCACCTCTGCAGAGGACAGGGATTTGGGGATGGGTGTCACCTGGTAAGCCAAGCTTGAATGACAGGCCTCAGGTTCCCCATTTGTTTTACCACGATTTTCTGTAGTATTTAGAATTGGAATTCTAATCCTTCTAATAATGCAGAATTCCAGGACCAAATAAGGCACTGTGCTAATTGCCTGAATGTAATTTAATGTGCATTTTAGTTAATTAAATAGCATTTAAGAGGAAGCTTGGGCAGGCTTAGTACAGTAAGGGTTACATGTGAATTCTGCATTTCATGGAAACTTTCATGGAGAGTCACAGTATCTCTTTAAATGTACATAACAGTGCCAAAGAAGAGGTATTTTTCAGGATTGTAAAAAGGTTATAAACAGTTGAAAACACTACTGAGATCTGGAGAGTTGAGCAAAATCCACCTCCAACTAGAACTAAAACCTGAATGGTACATTGTTCCAAATAACCTTTATTCAGTTCTCCATAACATATACTAAGATATGAGAAATGCTTCAGGACCTATTACTCATCCTAGAGGTCTAACAATTCTTTGTGGATGAAGAACAATATTGAGTACTGATACTTCTGTTCAATCAATCACCTTGCAGTGCTAATGGAAAAGTACTAATTGGAAAAAAAAATCTGCAGAAATTTTAAGGGAGATATTTCCACCCAACTTAAGGGTTTTTCAAAAGGAAAATGTGCACATTCATGAATACTTGTGGGAGGAAATCTGAAATATTTTCATAAATAAGAAACAACAGACAAGGTTTCTAAAAACAACTTTAGAATGTTGCTTTAGCTGCTTTTCAGTCCTGCTAAATGACTTCTAATAACTATTTAAAATACTCTATAGCAATGTATCATTCCAGTTCAGATATATGGTAGACATGCAAACTCTCAAATTCTTTGGCTGTTTAAAATTGTGATATATGAAATAAAGTAAGCTATCACATCAAGAAACAAATTAGCATATGAAAGTCAACTAACAGCAGCCAATTATATCTGATTAATTCTGTGTTAGAACTATCACTAACAGACATATATGGGAAAACAAACTATTGAATAATTTATTTGGTGACTTGTTAATAATAAAACATGCTGCAAATTAAAAGATCAGCGGGATACAACAGAATCCATGAGCTTTGGTCATAAAACGTGGATACTATTCCTGCAGTGAAGCTGTCATTTTATATAAAAATATACAATTTCTGTATTTTCTGGAGATACTTATTCTCCAGACAGTGGTCTGGACAGCAATGTCATTTGCCACACAGACCAGATCTTATGAATAAACCAGGTTCTATTCAAAACGAACAGTTAACCTCCTAATTCTAAGGATTTCTAATACGGAAGTAAGTACCTCCCAAGTGCTTTATTTTTATCTATTTATAAAATATTTATCTCTCCTTCAATTTAAACAATAAGCATTTCTGCAAAGAAGCAGACTGGACTTTTGAAGAACTGTCCAAAACAGGAAAATAAAGACTTTCTTATTTTGCACATTAATTCTGTGTCATGCAGGTTGCGTAAGTTTTTAACTGCCACAAGTGAAATAGTCAAATTCCACAGCAAACATACCATGATGCCAACGTGGCCTTTTTTGTGAAATTCCAGATTCAGAGTCAGAAAATGGTTGACTTTTTCCGTAGCCACGAGTGAGCTGAAATTAACCACATAAAATCATGAAACTGCCAACTAAGAACCCTTCTAGCTTTGAACAGCACAGATGAAAAAGACAGGAAAAACATTGATGTCACTCTTTTGTCTGCAGGATGTACACATGTGCCACCCAACCCATGTAGCCTGTTATTGAGCAACTCAGGAACAAAATGCACAGAAAAAATGTAATGCTTATGAACTCACATTTATTGAAATTTGGATTCAATGTAGCCTCTCCTACTCTGCCCTATCCTTTTCCAACCAGATGTGTACAAATGAATTTTGTTCCCCCAACTCTATCTCATCATAGCTATCATATTTTAACATGTCTCATTGTAGGATTCTGTGACTCTCCAGCTTCACACCAAAAATGGAATAACCAAGTTGCAGTTTGGGAAACAGTTGAATAGGGAAAGGAATGGGAAACCTTATACTGATACCATTAGGAGCAGGTTTGGACTCCATTACCTCCTCATGTGTTTTACATGTGTTTTACATCTTGGTTGTAGGTTTTGCTTTGTAGTTTGATAGTTTGTAATGGGAGGCAAGAATAGTGATGGACATTGGAGTCAACCAAAGCCAAAACTAAGTGGGCCTGCTCTGGATCATTTCTGAGGCTTTCTGAGACAAACCAAGCTTTTCTCAAACAACCAGAACCAAATGGGACCTTGCAACATTTGCAAAATAGCTTCAAGAAAGACAGATATCGTGTCTCTAAAAATAGTGCATTTTTCTTCACTAAGTAACTTGTGGGCCTC